TAGCGACGGCAGAAAATAGTCCACTGGACGGAGATGATAGATCATCGATTTGCTTAGTTTGCAAACGTACATATTTTGTATGAGAGTTGAATTTGAATTGTAAAATATGAAACAGATATCCCATTTTTCTTTCTTTACACTGTACATTTTTGCCGTTTTAATTCGGAATCACGATATTTAAAGTATGGCTACTCTGAATCCTTGTAAGCATCTACTGTAATATCTTGTGATAATACAGTGTAAGGTATATATTCAATAGTTTACAATGTAAAAATTGGTATAGGATAGAAGATTTATTACATTGCATCAAGCATTCCCATAACAGTATACACTTTAGTACTGCACACAGCATAATACTTTAAAGAATAGCAGAGAAAAAATTACTGATTATATTGAATTACAGTATGCTATACTTACCATCAAAACCGGTATACAGTACATCAAAAATTTGCATAGCAGAAAATATATTGCACCATTCCGTATATAATGCACATATGCATCAAGAGAGCCTACGGAGCGACGTTAAGGACAGCAATGACATTTACTATCACCATTTTATAATTGCATCCTTCACTGATTTGGGTGCAGATGGGAAACTGTATCAGAGGTGCTGGTGACTCGACAAAATCTATTTTTATGCCTCCACCTATGAAAGTAGAAGCCCTGCTCTCTGCGGCTTCCTAACAGGGTATCGGTGTTAACGGAGTAACATATGTTTAAGCCACATTTATCTCCATGAGTAGAAAAACTGTGAATAGTAATAAATCTGATACAAATACTCTACAAATAACAAATTCACTGAAACAGTACTTCACGCTGAAACACACTCTCGTTTGTATTTGATGAATATAAAGATGCAAATAACATAACGCAAACTGAGAAACAAAGCAACTAATGATTATGGGCAAAACACGGTACGATCAGAATTCTTGAACTTTGATTAAATGTTTAGAAGCACCGGATACAAAAGTCAAAAGTGACAAGAAACAGCCAAATCGAACCTTTCGTTAACGTACACAAAAAAGCATATATTTCATTCTCAAACAGAATGAAAAACATAAAACAGCAGCTGTCTACGAAAGCTTCGAATAATCAGAAGCAAGCTTCTGAAAAAGTACCTAGAATAAAATGCTTGGACTGGCAAAAGATTCCATTCCTCTTTGGTAATAACAAATAAAAACGCACAAGAACTTAAAAAGGAACTAAAGGGCCCTAAGACCGTTAGATAATTCTACTCAATACGGCTCGCTCCGCATTTGTTTCTGCTTCTCGTCAATGCAACAACAAAGCAGTATGGTCAAAACCATGCCCATCAACTAAACGAGACAGAAATTCATTTCAAACCAATCGAAAAATTTTTCGGGAGATTAGCAAATACCTGAAAACATCCAATTCCAACGGCCAGTCCGATAACAATGTCGAGGTTGTGGTAAAACCTGTTGTACACGGCATCGAGGCAGCCCTAAATCAAATTATCAGAGAGATACAGATTGTTAAATCATAATGCAATCGCACGTGAGTGTTCAAATACGGCTCATACGTGACCAGGGGCAGTTTATTGTAAGAGACACCACAATTTTCACCATCTTCGCTGATACCAAGAGAATTGCAACAAGAATGAGGTACTCGACCAATGTTGCCGGAGCCCAATCCCAGTTCAGGAGGCCCCAAGTTCGCGGTGGCAAAGTGAGAATTTAGCCAATCGTGATAAGTCTTAACTCCACAGCAGTGCAGCTGAAAAAAATCAAAATTTAGAGAACTAAAATTTACGAGAATAAGCAAAGACAGCAAGATCAGACGAAAAACAGACAACAGCAAATTCGATTTTAATCCATGTAAAGTGTATTCAGTAATGTAATTACTAAAAGTGAACAATAAATTCTTAAGACCAATTACATTTTGAAGTAAATGGCATTCAGAGCAACAAGGAGGTGATCAGAAAGTCAATTTCATAAAGTGAGTCCATCCATCAAAGTGAATAGATGTTACTATTAAAAATATTTAAACACGTAACTGCCGGTTGTGCGATTATTGTATAATCTGAAACAAAATCCGCATGATCATGTATCGTAAGTTCAAACTTTACGAGCTAAATGACGACTCTTATCTTGCTGAGTTCGTTGCTTGTATTAAAGAGGGTGACAGAAAGGTCAAAGGGTTGTGTTCCAATGCAGATTCACTTCGAAATCTGGAACAAGAAACAAACAAAGATCATTTTCAAGCTTTTTCAAATTCAAATTGTTCAGTGATCCATATATCAAAGGTAAATCAGCCTTCGCATAGCCAATCACCACCCTTTCAATAGTCATTCAAAGAGATAAGGGAGTATAAAAAGTATGATTCAGTCTAAATGTGGTTAACCATTGTGAGATGCAAGCTGTCGACCTGATCCAAAGATAGACTGTGGTCGATATGTTCTAAATTATGCAAACAATCAATGAAAACATGTTTTCAACTAATTCTTCATGAAATCTTGTTTGAAATCAATGATTCATTCCTCTGGCAATTTTTTCTGGAAGAACTAAGATTTTTTCCAATAAGCACTCTAAGCATTTTCATAAAAATAATCAATTGTCACGTCACGTTTGTCACCGAAACCTCATTCTGATGCTATGCCACCATGAATAGGTGAAATAATTTTTTGGGTATAGGCACGACTAGGCAACCGAGATTTAGAACTTATATACCTAACAGCGTTTCAGCCACGTTTTGATGTCAATGCCTCATAAATAACCCATATCCATTCGGTATATGTCAGTGTAATCGATCAGCCAAAATCAGGGTTAAACTGAACGTCAAAAAATCACTGCATATCTTTGCAAAAAAACAGCATGCGCGAGGGCAGCATCAACTCGTTTTACATCTCTTACGACGAGGTACCTTGCTCAGGCATCTACAGAGAGTCAACGTTTCTTTCCATATTCATCAATGAATGGAAACAGTGTCGTGGTGCTGAAAAAATTTTTCCTCGACTTTACTGAATAACTTTGGACAAACAATGGTATTGCCTTGATTGTTATCTAACTTCTACATCAACTCGCTTGAAGTCGCCTGCCAGTCACATAATGTGTCAGATATGACGAGCAAATAGTAATAATCGTCCCTGTCCGAAGCGTTGGTGATTCATCAATGCTTCAAGGTGTAGTGAACAAAGCGACGGAATGGGTCCAGGACCGTTGCCTAGTAATCAACCAAAAGAAAAGCACCCAGCTGACTTGCGCCTAAAACTGACGAGTAATCTGGACAGTATAACAACCAATTAGAGTAGGAAATGAACATGCCCTTGTGTTGTCATCATTAAGTACCTGCGCGTGTACTTTATCGATCGTTTACAGTGAAGTGAATACGTAACATCAGTGTTCACGAAGGTAAGCAATGGCTCCCACATATAGCCCAGGCTACTGAGATTCTAGCTCATCCTTCGAACAAGACGGATGTTCGACTGTTGCTTGTTGGTGCTGGTAACTTATTTGGACTGCGGAAGAAAGACAACGTGATTCCTCGCCGTGCAATTCCGCTGCTCAGATGCGTTAGATGGATTAGATGAGCAAAGATTTATGGCCATATCTTTCAAATCTTCAACAGTCATGGAAACAACCATACGGTTGGGGAAAATGTCACTGAGTGACGTAAACCATTCATTGCGCAAACGGTTTCTGAAGGCGGCTTCGGCGCGCGCATCCTTGAACGAGAAGTTCAATAATTGCACATTTACTAACGTACAGAACAATACCGCAGATCAGCTCATTATTCATCATTCATTTCCAGGACTTTCAGAGATTCGGAAAAGCAGAAACAGATGACTGTACAAAGCCTCGAGTCACAGCTTGTAGAACAATAAAAATATTTATTTCTGTACAGTTTGTTCAGTTTTCACTTGTCGATCATTGGGCATGAAAATTCCACTTAGTGCCGATAATAACCTTGTTGTTCAAGCAAATAAATTGAATCTAATGTCTGGGGCACGAGATTTCACCAACTGATTCATGAACAGCGTCTCTGGCCTATTTCACTGCTCCGCTTTTGCCGATACCCGAATATCACCACCATGCTTACCTTGGAGAAAATCCGAAAGACACAGACGAAGAATTCTGTCTAACGCAAGAGAGATCACTCATCGTGTTCTGTATAAACAATCTGCTCCAGCGCCGTGCTTTCGATTTCGTGTCTGTGCAAGTAATAGTCGAGTCACTACAGTACATAACATTACTCTCACATAAAACAAACTTTTAACGTTACAAATTTAAAGTTTCTATTCATCGCCGTTTTTCAACTAAGACGAAACTTAAATGATCATAGAAAATTCTCTCCTACTATAGCAAACTGACACTTTTCAGTTAAAATAATGAATTTTCTCTAG